TGCGATATTTTGTAAGTGGGAGCAGGCCAGGAAGAGCTTTCACTGGCATCTAGTGGTACATTGTGGAGGCAGAGTCGCTGCAGCTGATGGCACAGCTTCACTTCCAAAGTGGGTTTCCCCGAGAAAGCAGAGACTCTGTTCAGACTGGGAGGTCACCACTTCCAAACTGGGCTTAGGAAGAGGCATTTTTGGACATAGCCTAACCCTGCCCTGGCAGCTTTGTCTATGAAGCTCTTTTGGGGATGAGCATGACGCACTCTGAGTCTATTTTTGACCACATGTGCAAAACCTTGGGGTCATATCAAGGCAGACTTGATCTCTGCTTTTGTTGGACTTCGTGGCTTTATGTTAGCCCAAGAGGACAGCAGGCAGGTTTGGTCTGCTTGAAGAAGAGAGTGAGCTGTGGGGGGACTCCACTGGGAAAATGCAGATGTCAATGGAGAGAAACAGGAGCTGTGAGGACAGAAGTCATCTGCCCTACTAGAGGTGTTTCAGAATAAGGTGAATTTTGCTCCAGTGGATGACTGGACCCTGACACAGCTGAAACGTCATGATCCTGGCCCCTTCCTCCAGATCTGTCCAGCAGCAAAGGAGTCACACAGATGGTCCCTCCAGCTGCTCCAGGTGACCCCCTCATCCTTGTCCCATCTCAACCCCTCTCTCTCCATGGTGCCACACACCAAGATGGGGCCCCCAGCTGCTCCAGGTAAACCCCTCATCCATGTCCCATCTCAACCTCTCTCCCTCCATGGTGCCACACACCAAGATGGGGCCGGTCAATGGAGCTGCTGACTGGCACCATCCCAAGTGTTGGTAGGCAGAATTTGTGGGAAGGTATTATGGAAATAGAAAGGATGGAAAAGGGGTGGCATGTTTCCTAAAGAGTACTGCATATGAGGAATTTCACTTCAGCATACCTGGGGTCTACTGTGGCCTAACACCGTGGTCTCCCTTGTCTGCGCAGGACTTGCTGTGGCACTTTCATGCATCAAAGCAGAAGACTTTCAGTAGGGCAAACTGAATGAGGCTTGTGTGTCTGCTGCTGTGCATGCACTGGTATAAAGATGTCAGATTTGTATGACTTTTTCCTCCACTGGACTGAGATACAAGCTGGAATGGAGGTACACCTTCATACTGGTGCTGCTGCCTCATACTGCTGGTTTGTTTTGGGGTAGAAAATACATCAGCAGACTTTATCCAAGGCACATACAGTGTCTAGACCAGATCTGAATTCAGGGACCCTGTAACCTTGAACTTCCCTGTGTGACCTGAGCCAGGCACCTCACTACCCCCTGCCTCAGTTTCCCTGAATCAAAGAGGAGGAGAATAGGATGTTTGCAGCCTTGTATAGTATTTAGGACAGGATTGGGGGTGCTGGTTTATGCAGGACTGAGTGTTATTTTCCAGCTTCAGAGACATGTGACAAGCCCTAATCACTGCCCCAGGGAAGAGTCATGCCAAAGCAGCTTTTCATCATGCACACGCTCCGAAAACTCTCCCAGAGAAGCAGCCTGGGCTAGAGCTTCCTGCTG